AACTCTCCCTCCCAGATACAGCTAGTGCTCGAACTACGACCACTATTAGCTCCGACAGACCGGTCATAACACGATTTGGTCGTAAATTGAGTAGGCTATATGCATGTGGAGATGGTAGTGCTGCCAGAAGCTGGTCCGCACTGTCGTACGCCCAGCTGGGCAACGTTTGCGCTGCCAGACGCGGAGCAGTCGTGGCTAGTGATTGTGGTCGTAAAGTCGAATGGTTGTAAGCTGCATAGGTCATAAGTCGATCAATACCTGTAAGCACAACAAAGAGACACAGAAGTCGTCCAAGTCTCTGATAAAAACTCTTAGTCTGTAATAGAGTGCGGCTTTTGACCTAACTTGTCAGAAGTCCTCCCCAGGTTGGAAATAAACCTGTTGACTGTCGAGCCGTCCTTCTTCTTTGTCTCCTGTTTCCTTAATTCTTACAACAACAAAAACTACAAATTGGACTTCATTAAAATTAAAAACTACTGCTCCAGACTCTGTACAGTTTGGCTTTTAGTTCAATCAGACATCCAGTGGGTACACACTCTGCGGTTTTTCCTGTAACTCTTCTTTCTGGGGCGTTCTTAGAATCAACTAGAGATTGATTAAATAACCTGTCAAATGTGAACTTGAATATACAAGCAGAATCAGGATTGTGCTTTTAAAGCTCACAAATGTGTTTAGATTAGATACTACATGGTGGCTTAATAAAAATTTCCTTTATCATATTCTAATTGCAGTTTGTTCTGCCAGAATCCACACCACCCTACACTACTTCTGTCAGATATAAAAATAGAGGATAAAAACCTGTCCAACTTTAAAATTGCCCATCTTGAGCCAAATTGAAAATCAGAGCACAGTCATTGAAGATAAAGGTTGGATGGTACATCCACTATTAAAAGAAGATTCACTTCTGCATTTGTGCCTTAGCAGAAAGTGATTTCTGGGGTTAGAATTCTTGGGGATACATAAGGGGAAGTCACACGAGGTCATCAAGACCATTGCTGAAGAGCTCCAAATGTCTGTTTGGTTCAGACTGATGCAATAGCATAGGACAGAGATTGGCAAACTACAATTTGCTGCCTGTTTATATGAATAAAGTTTTATTGGCACATATCTAAGCCCATTTATCTACATATTGTCTATCGCTGAGTTTGCACTGCAATAGCTGAGTTGGGTAGCTGCAACAGTGATAGTGTGGCCTGCAAAGCCTAAAGTACTATGTGGCCCTTTACACAAAACTCTGTCGACCCCTGCCAAATAACATCATTCTTTGATGTCAATCTGGATAGCACCATTTAGATGTCTCACAGACAAATCTAATGGGACACATTTAAAAAGGCATGCACCTCCATAAACCTGTTTCATCTTCAGTGTTCCCTCTCTCAGTTAATAGTGCTACCATCACCAATTTGCCTGAATGAGAAGCCTCCCTTCCCTTTACCTCCCACACCCCCTCCATTACTCTATTCCCTATCCATCAACACACCCTGCCAATTCTACTTCTCACTGCATTTCAAATCTGACCACGTCTCTCCATTTCCACTACCATTTTCTTAGTCTAAGTCACCATCATTTTGTTCAAGATTGACAACAGTTTTCTAACTGATCTTTCTGCCTCTAGTTTTGACCACCCTCTGCTTCTAATCCATCCTCCACCCAGTAGTAACCAGAAGGATCTTTTTAACATCTAAATCTAATTTTGTAACAAGCATAATAAAATAGGTAGCTCAGATTTAATGAGCCCTTACTATGTGCCAGGCATAGTTCTAAGCACTTTGTATGTAGTAACTGACCTTAATCTTAACACTAACCCTATAAGGTAGATATTATTATCTCCATTCTTTAGAGGAAGACATTGAAAAACAGAGAACTTGTTCAGTTACACAGTAAACAACAGAGCCAGTTGTAACTGCTTTATTATACTACTCTACACACACACACAAACACACACACACACACATATATTTTTTCAGAGATGGAGTCTCATTCTGTTGCGCAGCCGAGAGTGCAGTGGCATGACCTCGACTCACTGCAACCTCCGCCTTCTGGGTTCAAGCAATTCTCCTGCCCCAGCCTCCCGAGTAGCTAGGATTACAGGCACATACCACCACACCCAAGCTAACTTTTGTATTTTTAGTGAAAACGGGGTTTCATCATGTTGGCCAGGCTGGTCTCAAACTCCTGACCTCAAGTGATCTGCCTGACTTGGCCTCTATTATTATTATTTCTTTTTTGAGATAGGGTCTCACTCTGTTGTCCAGGCTGGAGTGCAATGGCACTATCTCCACTTACTGCAGCCTCTGCCTCCTGGGTTCAAGTGATTCTCCTGCCTCAGCCACCCAAGTAGCTGGGATTACAGGTGTGCACCAACACGCCTGGCTAATTTTTGCATTTTAGGTAAAGACAGGGTTTCACCATATTAACAAGACTAGTCTTGAACTCTTGGCCTCTTAAAGTGCTGGGACTACAGGTGTGAGCCACCGTACCCAGTTGAGTCCATACTATTTTTTTTTTTTTTTTTTTTTTTTTTTTTTTGAGACGGAGTTTCACTCATGTTACCCAGGCTGGAGTGCAATGGCACGATCTCGGCTCACCGCAACCTCCGCCTCCTGGGTTCAGGCAATTCTCCTGCCTCAGCCTCCTGAGTAGCTGGGATTACAGGCACGCACCACCATGCCCAGCTAATTTTTTGTATTTTTAGTAGAGACGGGATTTCACCATGTTGACCAGGATGGTCTCGATCTCTTGACCTCGTGATCCACCCGCCTCGGCCTCCCAAAGTGCTGGGATTACAGGCTTGAGCCATCACGCCCGGCCTAGTCCATACTATTTTTAATGGCCAAAGACCATTGTCTTATTCTTCTCTAACCCCTGCTTACCTTTCCAGCCTGGTCTTTTGCTATTTACAGCCTTGCAATTTATGCTGCAGCCACCCCCACTGCTGTAGCCCCAAACCCCCCACCCCACCCCCACCCATACACACACACACACACACAAGGCATGCTGTTTTTCACCTGCATGCCTTAGTCATGTGATCCCTGCTGCTCTGGCTGTTTATTCTCTTTTCTTCTCTCCAACATGTAGCCAACTGTTGCACATCTTTTAATGCTCCAGTCAGGTGTCACCTACTCCAGAAAGCCTTTGCTGAGCAATCCAGATTTGTCCTTCCTTTGTGTTCCCATTATGCTGTGTTCATATCATTTTCAGTGTCCTTACTGTACACTTGTATAACTCTCCTTTTGTGCTTCTGTTTTCTTCAGTAGACTGTGAGAGCTCAGCAGTTCTTCCACTGCAAAGGTCTTGCTTTACTCTTTGACTTTTCTGTGTTTTCTTGGACTTCCTCTTCCCAGCCTTTGGCATAGGCTACTATAGCAAAAAAAGAGTAGAAAGAGAGTATAGGATTTTGTCTTTTTGTATATGAATGTGTGGAAAGGAAGTGTGAGGACATAATGGAGATCATGAACATATTTAGAGGAAATGAGATCACAGGATGAAAACATTTTAGAGCTTATTTTTGGCAGTTTCATACCAGTAATCTTTAGGAGAGGCTAGACCCCAAAATATATAATGGCTCAAACACAACAGAACTTTCTCTGTGATGTAACAGTCCAAAATAGGTATTCTTGTTCAGCAGGCTAGTTCTGCTAATATAGTTATTGAGGGATGGAGGCTGACAGAACCCCCTGGATCACACTGGGTTATCACATCCCAGTCAGTCAGAAAAGGAAAAGAACATGGAGGAGCATAGATGGGAGACATCTATAGGCCAGGCCTGGAAGTGCCACACAGCATTTCCAACAGTCAGAAATTAATCATGTGGCCACACCTCACTGCAAGGGAGACTGGGTAATGTAGTCCAGCTGTGTGCACAAGGAGAAGAATGGTTGTGGTGGGAAACCAGTGACCTTCACAGTTTATAAACCAACAGTAAAGTTGGACAAGTTTACCTTGGGTGTTGGGTAAACAATGGAAGAGGTTTATTTCCTTTGTACTAGTAAGCTAAATGATGCAGCTCTGTTTAACCTGTCCCATGGGAAGCTGGGGTAGTCAAACGTAGGCAGTATTTAAAATCACACTTGACAGTTGAGCTCCGTGTTGAGTCACTTAGCAGGAAGTAGCAGCTGGAGAATGATTTGCAATGCAGATGATTCCTTAATTATTAATCCCTGACACTTTGTAGATTGTCTTTGAGTAAAATCCCAGCTGCGTTAGTATACAATATCGTAATGCCAGCCCCCCAATATTTTTTCCTCTTTTGCATGTCTAGACTAGAGAGATTGTTAAATAGATGGCAAAGTAGCAACCTGATTCATTACAAGCTAACCAAGAGGTGCTCAAAACAAAATCAAGAAAAACAAAAACAAAATATAAAAGGGAACTCATTTTCATTTCAAACCCTAGCCACAGTCATGGGCTTATTCCCTACCAGTTTGTGTTTGCCCAAACAGAGTGCACATTAATGATGACCTCATGTAGACTAAGGGAATGAGCAGATGTCAATCAATTTGAAATGAAATGTCTCCATAATTCTCTGCTAAAAGGCATATCAGTTCCCAGGAGAGCTTGTAAAACAGCTACCCAGGCTCTACTCCCTCCTCGGTGCCCACCCCGGAGTCTCATTTAGTCAGTCTGTGGAAGGACCTGGGTATTTAGATTTTTTTAATGTTCCCTGGATGATTCTGATGTAAAATCAGGTTTGAGGAAACACAACTCTGACAGGGTGGGAGGGAGAATAGGAAGGCATGCCGAAGCACGAACCAGACAGAGTGATTTTGTTTTAATACATTAAAAAATAATGAACACTAAGGAAAATCTAGTTTCATAGTTTGACATGTAGAGCTGTCTCTGGGGTTAGATGCATTCACAGGAACCTAGAAAACAGGACTCTTCTGGGGATTGGCCATACAATCCCTTGCCAGAGCTGACTATAAACCAGGAGAGGTATTATGACAGTAGACTTTCTCCTGGACATTCCAGATGCCTAACTTGTTTTCTTCTTTTCCCAGTTTGTTGCTCAGCCCAATTGCCAACAGTTGCTTGCCACCCTGTGGTATGATGGCTTCCCTGGATGGCGGCGGAAACACTGGGTAGTCAAGCTTCTAACCTGCATGACCATTGGGTTCCTGTTTCCCATGCTGTCTATAGCCTACCTGATCTCACCCAGGAGCAACCTTGGGCTGTTCATCAAGAAACCCTTTATCAAGTTTATCTGCCACACAGCATCCTATTTGACTTTCCTCTTCATGCTTCTCCTGGCTTCTCAACACATTGTCAGGACAGACCTTCATGTACAGGGGCCTCCCCCAACGGTCGTGGAATGGATGATATTGCCTTGGGTTCTAGGTAAGTCAAAGGGACCAGGAGCTATAGCCAGACTGCCTGCTTGTATCCTGTTTAAAGGAAACTACTAGAACAGGCAGTCAGACTAGCTCTGAACTAGCGTACCCCCATTCCACCCCTATACAGTGTGGTAGTCCTCTGTTGGGAGTCTCAGAAATGTAGTTCCTTCTGTCCCAGGCCCTGGTCACTCAATATTTCCTGGTCCATGGTGAGACTGGCAGTACACCTAGGGCCTTCTTTTGCTAACCTAATATCTTCAAGGACAGAGAAGCTGTCTGTCAGTCTAGAGACAAAGCTAAGTTTCAGTCAGGACAAGCCTCAAGTAAGGTAGGCAGAGCAAGCGCTGAGCAGTCTATTCAAATCCCCTTTTCCTATAACCAAGGGGCACATGAATCTGCTAATTTCTCAAGGCTACTCCACTCGACCCAATTCTTGTTCAGGGGTCTACATCCTATTTGGACACGGATTTCACAAACAAGGGGGAAACCTGGGAAATTCCCACACATCATGGTAAAAGCAGCCCTACCAGTAGTCTCCAAGCATAATTACATTGCACTGGACTCTCCAACACACAGCCATCTTCTAAGTCCTTGCTACTCAAACTGTGGTCCCCAAACCAGCAATATCAGTACCACCTGGGAGATTGTTTGACACACAGAACCTCAGGTGCCACCCTGGATCTGAATTTTAACATGATCCTCATGTTATCTAAAGTCTGAGAAAGTGCTACCCTAGACGACAGCCACACCTTTTACCATTTTCTTTATTCCGATGCTGAAGAAACATCCATATCGGTAAAATTTTATGAAACTTCTACACGATGAGAGATAAAAGAAAAAAATGAGTTATAAATTATTTTGGGCTCCATTTCCTAGCTTTAGCCCCAACATCTGGTAATTTGATCCACGATCAGCTTGATCACCTCAAAATTCATTGAGAAGTTTTCTTTCCTGAACCTAGTGGAAACTAAGGACTGTGGGATAATACTAATCTAATTAATTTATTGATGAAAATACTCCCATTCCAAAATGGAAAGAAAGTAGAATCAGGCACCCAAAATTGCAATAGCATTCCAGTAACTATAGCAAAAATGCTAAGAGTAGTACCCAGAAAAGTATAACATATTGGCATCTTCAGGAAAAGCCTACCAGGTTTGGCAAGCTCAAAACTGGGAGGTGGGGTAAGAAAGCAAGTGATTATTGTCTCTCAAGACTTCACTCTACTGAGAACCCAATTCCTTCCTTATTTCCAGCCTTATTCATTTGAAGGGGGATCCTTCTATGATGACCAGGGCCGATCCTATGTAGAAATAAACTGTTTGCCTCCATTATTCAGGTTTCATTTGGGGTGAGATTAAGGAAATGTGGGATGGCGGATTTACTGAATACATTCATGACTGGTGGAACCTGATGGATTTTGCAATGAACTCCCTCTACCTGGCAACTATTTCCTTGAAGATTGTGGCCTATGTCAAGGTAAATTGGAATGTCTGCCATTTTTCCTTCACAGTAATTTTGTCTACATTAAGCTTTTGCACTGAGAACATAAAGAGTTTCAAGAAAAAGTGGTGATGATGGCTCAATCCATGTGGGAAATTACCATATAAACAGACATTCTTTCAATGGTTTGTAAGCAGTGTCCACCTAAGCAAAGAAAGTGGAAAATTGGACAATTTGCAAGTGAATCATTAGCTTCTGAAACTTTTAGGATAAAAGGGTCTTTAGCTTTCAGTGTTTAAATCCTCTCTATGATGTCCTTGCCAACATAATGACCCAATGATGCTTGCATGCAGCCAGGGCAGAAAATGTCTCCAGGAGGAAAGGCTGACAATTCAGTCTCCAAGATTGTATAGTCAGTCATGTTTTTTGGCACTAATTTCCACATTAAGGAGTTTTAGAATGGAAATATGGCTGTTCCCCAAATCTCCAACAACTTCGTTTATTTTTATATCCCTAATATGCATACTGCATAAATTTTAAGACCTTGGAAGTTATGTAGAGCATGCATATTGAATGCAGTCATGAAGCATTTTTGAAAGGAGCCCAAGAGTAGACCCTATACATGTGGTGATCGTTTAACACATACTTACAACTTCCTTAAGAGAAAATGCTGGTGAGGAAAATGTTTGAGTCCCTGGTTAATGTGCCTGGGTGAAATCCATGTCATTCTGGCACTCTGCTGACTAAGTATCATTGTTAAGGAAAGGAAACTTTCTTCCTTTGGAAATGGTATTTATACACTGGAGAGACCATAAATTATCAATCTAGAAATTGGTGGGTTTTGTTTAAACAGGAAAGCTTAGAATACATGCTGAAGAAAAGGATTAACATTTGGGATATGAAAAATGTATTTGTAGATTCTCAACATTCGTTAATCACATAACCTGTCCGACTTTCCTGGAGGGGCTTCCAAAAAGTTAGATAGTTCTCCATCACAAAGTATAAGGAAAAATCTGCTCTATTAAGCTGGGTAAGTGCCCCTCAACTGGCAAACACTTTACTCAAAGGAGACCTTTGCCAAGAAGTTGGAGTCCTTCCCAAAAAAGAATTTGCAAAGCAAGACAGGCTATATGCAAAATTTGGATTTGCAATGAGAACTTATAAATGGGGATAATCAGATCTACCCATCCAAAGAAGTCTAGGCTGGATGACCTTCCCCAAGCAGGCTGAGTCAACTTCCATGGGGCAAAGCCATAAGAACTGCTCCACAGGGTCGTTGAAACGTTTTGAATCACCATTGTACTGAAGCCATACAGAAGCACCAAGGATTGAGCTCGTCTTAAAAAAGATCCTTCATTTTACTAGAGTGCAAAATTAGTCAACAATATCCATTCCACGCCACATGATCTATAATGAGAACCAAAAGGCACATGCCAAAGTACAAAAAAGGAACAAAGATATATAAGATTGGCCCTTAGTCTCCCCAGACGATTCCACAAATGGAGAATAACCATTCTTTTGTTTTCTAGGATAGTACCACCTAGATCTATTCTACCACTGCCTCACTTCTATGTGTACTAATTAAATCTGGACTATGCTACCCACTGAGTTGTGACCTTTTCTTCAGTCAGTGCTTAGCTAAAAGCATAATAACACTCCCCTCAAATTCTTATTACTATTGAGTCCCCACATTAGGTTGTCCCTCTTCATATTTTGCTTTGGGGTTTGTAAATGCAATTCACATCCTTTGAAAGGCAAGGAGGCCAATTTTCTAATTGCATTCCATTTCAAAAGATGTAAAAAAAATCACTTGCCTCCAAGTATTATTAACCCAAGAGTCAGGAGACCTGAATTTAATTCCCACTCTGATACTCATGAGCGGGATTACCATAGGCAATCCCTCTACCTTTCTGAGCTGTAGATTCTGCCTGTTATAAATAAGTAGTAGATTAAACTAGATCAGTGGTGCTCAACCTTTTATAATTTTTCCCATGGTAGCACGTCTTTAAGCAGAAACTCACAAAGTAATCCAATATATTAAAAAGCCCAAAGGACTGAGTTTGACTTGAGGAATGAGTCTTCTAAGTGTCCACTTTGGCTCCCACAGTAGCTGCTAGATGCCTCTGCTGAACTCTCAGGCTCTAAGGAATGCAGTTTAAAAACCACTGTGTTAGATCAGGGGTCAGAAAACTATGGTCTGTGGGCTAAACCTGGCCTGCTGCCATGTCCATATGGTTGCATATTGTCTAGGGCTCCTTTAGGATTACAAGGGAAACATTGAGTAGTTGTGATAGGAACCATAGAGCCCACAAACCCAAAAATATGTAATAGCTGGCTCTTGACAGAAGAAGTTTGCCAATCTCTATGCTAGATGAGCTCCATGTTTATTTGTTACACACACATGCTATATCTTTCTCCAAAGGTGCAAAGTATAGATTTACCATGAGAATCATCTTTCACACTTCTGAGTGTTCCACAAATTCAGGTTCACCATCACATGGGCAGCAGACATCTCTGAGGTTACAGTTCTGGATGTGGAGACAGAAAACCTCCAATTGTGAGCTATCCATGTTCCAGTTGATGATTTCTAGTTTTAAAACATAGGTCTGTTTTGCTATCAGCAAAGAGACTATCTTTCACATATACCTCAAACCACTAAAAGCTGATCTATCATCTGTGCTGTGATATCAACTATCATATAAGTAACATTTAATAGAAATAGTGCTAGACTGAGTGCCTGGAGACCTCTGGTTTACTTCTTACTGGTTCTGCCACCAACTTGCTGTGTGATCTTTAGCAAGTCACTCTGCCTCTCTGGATTTCCTCCATTTGTAAAACAGGCATAACCATTCCTACCCCTCACAGTAATGCAGTGAATGTTTGTTAGTGGAGGAAAAATGTAGAAATATAAGATTTGGCCAAGAGTACATAAAATTGATTGGCCACCTAAAAGTCTATCTGAAACAGAAGCACAAATGTGGCATGAATTCTCCAAGTTCCTCTGACAGTGAAGAATATTGGATACACAAAAGTGATTTTAATCGCACCAGTTTCCTCAGTTGTTGGAACCGAAGCACATTTTAGAAATGCTGACAATATAATTTGGCCCCCAATGCAACATTTTCTGAGGAAAGTTGTTTACATTTAGTCCTGAGAAATTGTGATATTTAAATGTGAGTTCAAGGCAATATGCTTCAAATTAAATTCTAGGCAAAATCTACTTCTGTCCTGGGAAGGTAATAAGTAATTCCTTGTATTTCCATAACATCTCCCCTTATGGAGTACACAGACTTTTGCATATGAATACAGAATCACAAATATGTGCAGTGGGTAGGAGGCATTATCCTCATTTTATGGTGAAATTAAAAGACACAGGCAGTTTTAATTGACAATGCCTAAGTTGGAGCTCAGATCTCACAATGAAGTCATCTTTCTATAAGGTTACTCCTAATGTGACAGGGGCTAGAAACCTGGGATAAGTAACCAACGCAATAAATACTGATTCTTCCCCTCCTTCAACTCCCTGGTTCTTTATATGTGCTAAAGGAACATTCTAACTTATAGGGTTGTCAAATGAACTGTAAAATACATCCATACACCACTGTGTGGGACAGTACTAAATTCATTCATTACCTGAAAGGTTGGCATGCCATTTGCAATAGTGTAGAATACATTACAGTCTGCTAAAAATTCAGCAGAAAGCTCCAGTGAATGGCTCCCTAAGGATCCTCCATCAGTCCCAAAGTGCAGTCAGCAAGGGAATGAGAATGAACACCGCATACCGAGAAGGCTGCATCTACCCCTTGTCTTTCAGTAACAGCAGGTTGTCCATGGTGCTCAGAATCCAATGAGGCATTGAGGAAGCGAATTTGATTTGAAATCTTTAGGAAGCAGTAAGATTTTTCCCCACTACCTTGGGCATATTAGTGTCTCTGTTTCAGTGACACTCCCCAACAATCTGGTAAACCCACAGTTAGAAAATGTCTGTTGATAAACCACAAGTGGTTGCTCCAAATGATTGTTCTAAAATTCATTCTTCTATATGTATATATTTGGATGGGAGTGGGAGGAAGAGACTCGTTAGCATCACATATTAATTGGATGGGGCAAGAAAGACAAATAGTATCGTGTATGGGGTCTGTTGCACAATAAATGCTTGATGCATAATTACGGTGGCTTTGTTTGGGTATGGAAGGGAGGATAAAAGGGAAAGGTTTATAAATGTTCACTGTACTTCTCATCTTGTGCACTTGTTGTTTCTTTCAGTATAATGGTTCTCGTCCAAGGGAGGAATGGGAAATGTGGCACCCAACTCTGATTGCAGAAGCACTCTTCGCGATATCCAACATTTTAAGTTCGTTGCGTCTCATATCCCTGTTCACAGCCAACTCCCACTTAGGACCTCTGCAGATCTCTTTGGGACGCATGCTGCTTGATATCCTCAAATTCCTCTTTATCTACTGCCTGGTACTACTGGCTTTTGCCAATGGACTGAACCAGCTTTATTTCTATTATGAGACTAGAGCTATCGATGAGCCTAACAACTGCAAGGGGATCCGATGTGAGAAACAGAACAATGCCTTCTCCACGTAAGACAATCCCCTTTCCTTTTTTGCCATTTTCTGCCTTTTCCATTTTTGCCCTGTTTTCAGCCTACAGCTTCATTACTGCCACTTGACTGTGAAGGCAGCACTCACTGTGGATCCACCCAAAGGATCAGAGTGGAGGAATGTTCTTCTCTCGCTACAGGGTACTAGGAGAGGAAGTGAAGTTAGGTGAGGGAGGAAAGAAACAAGCACACACATGGGCTTCCAGGAAGTCATCTAAAGAGTTGGTTCTGAACTATGTTGGTAGCATTACATACTTTTAAAAGAATTAATTGGGGTGAGGTAGATAATTCCTCACTCAAAAATGTGGCATCCAGCAAGGTAATGAAACAGCAAAGCTATTCCTCTGAACAAGTGGCTACCAAAGCTAACTTAACTATTGTGATTCAAGGAAGGATCCAAAAATATCTTAATGCACCCCCATTCATAGGTGTAATCTAGAGAGGGGATAGGCCGGAGGTAGGATCCACTCACCTGCTACATTAATTTAAGGGCCAAGTGGCATCCAGCACTAATTGGAAATGTCTTCTATTTCCACTCGGGACGCAAGAGATAACTCATCTGTCCACGAGTCCATGTGCCTCCAAACACATGGAATTCCTGTGCCTTTGCGTAGTACTGTCAAGACCTACTTCTCGGGGGACCTTCAAGCCTTCAGAATGGCTTTTATTTTCTGATAATTGATGCTATGGGAAACAGACAAAAGAAAACAAATAAGTACATGTCAGGCTATTAGGAGCTGTGCTGGGCTGACCCTGAACTCGGTGTCCTTCACCTTGTCCATCTCCACCCCTACTTTTGGAGAGTGCAACTCGTCACTGGTATTCACAGCAATGACCCCAAGGACATACAATATTCTTAGTCATTAAACTAATATAGAATTTTTTCCTTATGACTCCATAAACCAACACAGTTCAGTGGACTTGAACATTGTAGAATTGTGCTCCATAACAAAGGCCAGAGAAAAAAAGGACTCTGTTGAATGTGATAGAGAGAAAAAAAAACAATGCTATTTAGCCAATTCCTGTTATTTGTCTCTAACACCATTTCCTAAAATGGATTCACACAAACCACAGTTCAGTAGCATGCTAATAGACAGAAGAATGGAATCTGTGTTTAAACCTCCTGTGCTAGATCATTTTCCTTGTCTCCCTTTCCAACACTCAGGGCTAAATCTTGGGTGGGGAAACCAAATTTGCGTGCAAGGAGAAGGGGTCCAAAATGTGTTGGCAAAGAGATAGTGCTATTTTGGTTAAGCCAACCAGGAGTGTATAACAGCAGCTTATTAGCTTGCTAGTGCCTTTTAACTAGGAAAGGCTTCCTCTCCTGCATTACTCCAGAGACAGAACTCACAGCAACCTGTTTTCAACATAAAGAGCAATTGTATAGTGGCTTGAGTACCAGGACACTGCATTTGTTCCCATCAAAGTGTTGAACAGAATAAATACATGAATCAGAAGTGCCTTCCAGGAGGTCAGGTCCCTGCCAGTTATGCTTTCATGTGTACTCTGCTGAGGAAGTTTATGAAGTGCTTCCTTGCAAGTTTGTAATAATTAGTAACACCCCTGTTGCCAACTGACATTTTGCTCCCATCACTTGCTTAGCAGGGACAATTGGCAAGAATGGGCACCTATCATATGCAAAATTATATGTTGGGGTATCAGACATAAAGAAACATTGTCATGCTGGGGACAAATCAGAAGTAATGTTACCTCAACTTTCCATCTATCAGTCAAAATTTTTTTCTCCATAGAAGTCTGACTCATATTTATGTTTTCTTTTAAATGCCTCAACTCAGGCATTCATTCATTCATTCATTCATTCACTGAAACGGAGTCTTGCTCTGTTACCCAGGCTGGAATACAATGACGTGATCCCAGCTCACTGCAACCTCTGTCTCCCAGGTTCAAGTGATTCTTATGATTCCGCCTCCCAAGTAGCTGAGATTACAGGTGCCCACCACCACATCCAGCTAATTTTTGTATGTTTAGTTGAGATGGGGTTTTGCCACGTTGCCCAGGCTGGTCTCAAACTCCTGACCTCAGGAGATCCACCCATCTCAGCCTCCCAAAGTGCTGGAATTACAGGTCTGAGCCACTGCACTCAGCCTCAGGCATTTATAAACCTGTTAAAATACACGCTGCTCAGCCAGGAAGTCAGAAAGATTCTGCTTTTAGAGACGGGTATAGTTTGTTTATATATCTGGTAGAAAGTTTGGTAGCTGATTATTGTCATCCTTTTCCTTCTG